TTTTTAAAATCATACCTCTATTTCAGCAGGGGCATAGAGGTAATTGAAGAAAATAGGGCTCCTTTTGTGCATTTTTTCAATACATTCCCAAATACAAATTCCTTTTTTGGCATGTTTATCTCCTTTATCTTCAAACAATGTCCCTAGGGAAAATAATAGCAGCAAAAAGATAGCTTTATGATAACACATAACAAACACTAAAGCATAGCCAAAAGGAATTTCACAGAATAAATGTATAGTAAAAATCTACTACCGAATGCCACTGCAACAAGAGATTGTATCTGATGAAACAACTGCTGTGCTTTGCAACTGCAACTATTCAGTAGCGTTATATTTATAAACCTGTTCTGAAATTTACTGAAATACTTTACCGTATTCATGAATGTCCCTTTCTGCCTGCAGCTATGCTGACTCAGCAGGCCACCAAGCCCTGCTAACTGATTCTGGCCCCCACTACCCAAGGTTATCAGCCCTTCCAACCGGCTGGACCAGCAGTACCTGAAATTACTTGCTAACTCATTACAAGGAAAACCAATCAGGCTAGTGTAAATAAGTTAGCCATAGATTTCTGCTATCTGAAATTACTTTGGAAGGACAATAGTTTATCCAGAGACTACTGGAAACAGATTTTATATTGCATTAAATGGTATTTGAAAGCAAACTACCCCTAAATAAACGAACACCACCCCACCCCACGCCCTGCCCCCAATTGTAGAACCATGTAACAATCCAGGTTGGAAGGAACTACAGGAGGTCACTGACTCCCAACTCCTTGCTTTTGTTCAAATGAAGGTAAACAATGGAAATTAACTTTTTTGTTGAAATAAAATGGTTGCTCAAGTTTAGTCTGTTCCACAGTTACTACAGTTTTTAAGAAAAGCTTTCAAATTGACCATATGCCATGAGAACCACCCCATGAAGCAGTGAAATTCAGAGCACTGAAGTGTTTTGCTTAGTGAACGAGTTCCAAGAACAGCCTCAACTGTGGTTGTGTAGTCTTATTAAGAGGGCTGTGAGGGTAAATAAGGCCTTGTGACCAGTATGGTTGCACCCAATAGATGGAGTAAAATGGAAACATAAAAGAAGAGAAACACTGAAGAGAATGCAAGAGAAAGAAGTGAGAGAGAACAGAGGGAAAGGTTTTCCCTTCCTGAAACCTCATGCACTTTCTGAAGGATTCCCAGGGACTTTGTTTGTATTAAGGTATTCAGTAGGGGAAACTGAACCATGTAGATAAATTGCTAAAAAACCCTGAGGTACGGCACTTATTTCTTCCACTTTCTCTTAGTCCCAAGCATGGCTCAGGAATCATTCATTCAGAAAATTCTACATGTTCTTCACCTCCATTTTGCTTTATATTCCTGAAATGGAATTCATTACATCATCACCATGCAATGACTGGACCATGTCAAACTAGGCAAATTTTTGTAGACCAAATATTGACCAAAAAAATACTGACAACTACAAAAGCAGTATGCAATAAACAAACACCACACATACCATGTTCTAATCTTTCGTAGTCTGAATCCAGAAGAAATGTTTTAAATCGATTTGATATGTGATGAAAAGCCAAGAACTTCAGATAATATTGATTGAACTCAAACTCTGTTGGGTATTGGTTATGAATCTAAAGAAAAAAAAAAGGGAGGGGGGAGAGGATATTGAGGTATAATACAAATAGATATGTAAGAAATAATACTGTGAAATATGACAGCAAAATAATTCCCCTGTGAATGCTGACAACAAATATATCCATAGGCAACTGTCTTGTCTGTGCACACAAATCCTTCTACATTTTGTCTAAAAATATTTTAAAGCTAATTAAATTCATGTATTGTCTACGCTGCAAAAAACGTTTCAGAGCAGATAGGGTGTACTGTATAATAAGCAGTATTATACTCTGTACAAAACCCAGGATTCTTCAAAGCAATCAAACTGGACATAAATCTTTTATGATAACTCTTGAGATGCCATGTAACTTCATAGACAAAGATGCTATTCCTGGAAGCAGCTGGAAATCAAACTTTAATTGGAAGGTTTTGCACCAGACTTCTTGCTATTGCTCAGAACCCAACCTAGCAGACATGGACAGAGGTAATGCTGCAAATGATATTCCAGCTGCCATTACTGAAACAGCTAATTTCAGAAGTACTTGCTAGTCTATGCATATTTCTTCCTTTTCAAAATATGCACCGAAATACTACAGTATGAAAAAAATAAAAAACATACTGAGGAGGTGTCTTTCCGTTATTCTTTTAAAACAGTAAAAACTATGTAATGTCTTAAATTGTTATCCTCAGTTAGCCTTGGGATCTATCTAATTCAGCGAATGTCTCCAACAGCAGTCAGGAGCAGGTATTTAAGAAGACAATACAAGATTATCAGAGTACAGCACTGTGGGGTAGTTGGCTCTTCACAACTGCTTCTTCTTGAACATTATCAGAAAGAGCCTGGTGTAAGATTTTAAGCACGAAGTTTAACACTCATGGCAAAATTTTTTAGCATTAATCATTGATGATGTTTATACTTGATATCCATATAAAATTCAAGGTTCTAAAGATCTTGATGAGATACTGCTCACAGAAATGTCATGTATTAATTTCAAATTTAAAATTTACTCTTCAAATAAGTTTATTAATTGTGCTCTTTATTTTCAGAATTAAGCATGGTAATTCAGTATGAAAATTTCCAATTACATTGGAAATAAGTACCATTTGCAATTGAAAAAGAAACTGACAACTGAACTTCACATTTGAAATATGTCCCACTGTGCTCTGTCTAGCTTGACATCAAACTTGTAAAATACCTTTAGTTCTGCAATATTCCTGCGTTTTGTCTTTTGCATTCCCTCTACTCTCTTTTTTCCATTCCATCTTTTCTCTATCATCTCTACTTATCAGTTCCTCAACAGAGAAAGGCTTTTTATTAAGTACTTATGGAAACTAGTATTAGACTACTTGAAGCTCCTTATGTTTAGATTTTCACATGTGCCAGTTCAAAAAAAAAAACCCAACAAAACCAATCAGCTAAATAAAGAAAAAGTATTTAGCAAGGAAAGGTTATCTACCGAATGTACAACAGTGACAGGAAAATCCTTGGAAGGACCTATAAACACATACATAGCATTTCAGTCAGAGAATTCGTTGTTATCATAACTCAGTATCAGCTTGTGGCTAGGCATTTAAAATGCTAAGATACTTTAAGATATCTCAGTTCAATATACCCACACCTACTTTATCCCCACTTCTCCCCTGACACAAATGATTACATTCCTTCACTGTTTTGTAAGAGGAAAGCTAAGCAAAATTTTTTCTATAATAAATTCAAGACTTCAACTTCATAGACAAAGTAACTTTTTAGTTTTCCTTATAAAAAAGAAAGTATTTTTTCTGGCATATATTAGATTAAAATATAATCCAAGTACACTAATTCTGTTCAAAAATGACTTTTGAGCTGAAATCCAAAAAGTTCTACATATGCATGTGCATTTAGACACATATACACACATATACAAGTACATTAGCATACATTTTCTCTGTGTGTTAGGAGAAGTTTTCTTTAATAAAGAAAAAAAGTATTTGACATGACTTATACAGGGTCCTAATTTCTACTTATGGTCCAATAATTATTTTAATACATTTGAAGAGCTACACAAATGAGCTGCTACTAAAATCCTGTCATGGATCTAGGTGTTGTGAATGATCCCACTTCTGAGATTTCGGGAACTACAAGTAACTAGAAGTTATAATAATATAATTTACTTTTTAAGTGAAAACAACTATTGTCTAAAATATTTCTTTGATAAAGGTGAATAATGTAGTTATTGTCTGTGTTTTAACGGCTGGGGCTGGTTTCCGCACACTTTGGGGTGGGGA